AGAGAGAGAGAGACAGTGAGAGAGGGAACACAAGCAGGGGGAGTGGGAGAGGGAGAAGCAGGCTTCCCGCCGAGCAGGGAGCCCGATGCAGGGCTCCATCCCAGGGCCCCGGGATCCTGACCTGAGCCAAAGGCAGACGCTTAACGACTGAGCCACCCAGGCGCCCCAACCTCTCTAATTTCTTCTCACATCTCTGCTCTTGCCGTTCTTCATACTCCACACTGGCCTTCGCTTGAGCTTCTTGACTAAACCATACTTTGTCTAGGCTGTTTTTTGTCTGGAAGTTTCTTCTCTCACTTTTGCCCAGTTAGCTACAACTCATCCTTCAGAACTGAGCCTCACTGTCACCCCTCATTTGCAGCTTTCCCTGTTCCTGAGAGAGCAGCATATTCACCTGTACACACTCATATCAACCCATACTTTTCCTTTGTAGCACTTAGCAGAAAAACACAGGGTGGTCTGGAATGCCGTCCAAGGGGACAGAATACCATTTGTTTGTAACACGTAGAAGCCACAAGTATTAGCCATAATTAGCTAGTCCTGAATAAAAGAGCAAAGTCTATCCAGCCAAAACTACTTGAAAAGTTTTCAAATCCTTTATCTATACCTTTCAAACCCTATGGAGCTCTGTAGTCAGTTTTCCATGACACCTGTTAGAATCCCCCTTTTCCCACCCAATGCCTTCACATACTAAAGCTGCTTTTCCTTTCTTCTCAACAACTATACCCCCCACCCCCACCTCAACTTTTGCACTGTGGTCTTCTTTTCCTCTTCCTTTCTTCCTAATTCTCCATGACAAAAAACAGCTTAAGAACTAGTCTGGGAAAGTAGGACTCTTCTGGAAGGTAGGGGAGAGGAAGAATGAGTAGGCCAGACCAGAATCTTCTTTGGTGGGCAGGGGAAGGAAACATTATCTTGGGAACATTATCTTTTCACTGTTGTTCAGTTATCTAATGCTACATAACAAACCACTCAAAACTTAGTGGCATGAAACAACTACCATTTCATTATGCTCATGATTCAGTGGGTCAGAAGTTTGGCAAGGACACAGAAGGGATGGTTCTTCTTTGCTTCCCAATGTCTGGGGCCTCAGCTGAGTTGGCTCAAAAATGGCTGGAGAGGGCGCCTGGGTGGCTCAATTGGCTAAGCGACTGCCTTCGGCTCAGGTCATGATCCTGGAGTCCCTGGATCAAGTCCCGCATCGGGCTCCCTGCTGAGCAGGGAGTCTGCTTCGCCCTCTGACCCTCCCCCCTCTCATGTGCGCTCTCTCTCTCAAATAAATAAATAAAATCTTTAAAAAAAAAATGGCTGGAGATGGTAGGGACAGCTTGACTGGGGTCATATGTCTGGGATTTGAGTTCTTTTCCATGCAGTGTCTGCTGGGACTAGAATGTCTAAGATGGTTCCTTCATTTATATATCTAATGTCTAGGCTGTAGGTTTGAAACTGGGATGTGGCCAGCATTGTTTTCTCTCTTCATGTGGCTTTTCCCTGTGACCTCAGCTTCTCACAGCATGGCATTAAGTTTCCAAGAAGGAGCATTCCAAGAGTAAGAATTCCAAGAAATCCAGGTGAAAGCTGAAAGGCTTTTTGTCATCTGGTTCAGAAGTCCCAAGCTGTTACTTCTGCCACATTCTGTTGGTCAAACAAGCCACTCAGTTCAGCTCATATCCTAGGGGAGGGGAATTAGATTTACCTCTTAATATTTAGATCAGTATGGATCCACAGAGAGGAACAGAGTTAATTTCTGCCATCTTGGAGACCATCCACCATAGTCCTTACCTCATCCCAGCCACTACAGTTCATGTCCCCTTTCATGGAATTGCCTTGAAGTCCAGGATTTCATCAAAGTCAGGTCCAGGTATATGAGGCTCCCTGATTGGAGCTCCTCTTCATCTGAGGAACTGTGAATTAAAGAGACAAGTTATGTGTCCCATCCCTGCCACTGAAAAATATGAGATGACATCATTCTGCTTTAAAATTTGTTTGGATTATGAGAATTGGTATTGTGGGAGAAATGGGAATTTGGAAGTTCAGAATGTCCTAGTCATGTGATTATATATATATATATAAAAGCTTTGAAATACCTGTTTGGTGCTTACAGATACTGAGAGAACCATCTAGTGGTTAAGCTGAACCCTGAGAATTAGGAGGGTTTCTTTTTTGTCACTGCCCAGGGAAAGCTGAGTTGGCATTCAGAAATTAAAGGCTGAATCATATGTTTTTCCTGACTGGCCGATTTGGACTGGAGTTGGGGAAGGTAAATGAGAGAAATGATACTGGCATGTCAAGATAAGTCCTGACAAATGGTGATAAAGTAGGGTAGGGCCTCAAGGGCCCTCACAGTGAGGGACGAGCAGTCCCTCTGCTTCTGCCCCTTCCCTTCACCTAGGTTATTCTTTCCTCTGGCCCACCAAGTTCCCTTTGGTCTACAGCTCATTGAGCAGTTCCTTCCTTTTCTGCTTTTTCCCAATCCCCCTTCCTTATGATGATCTTTTCCTTTTTTATAAGGTACATATGTGTGTATTTTGGAACGTAAAAGAAGAAAGCAAAACCAAACTTGATCTGAGAATGATCTCCTTTTCAAAACGCTTGGTATTTGTTCTTCTCTCCGTATCGTCCAGATTTAGTCTTGGATTGGAGAGGCAGGGCACTAACTGTGCCTGGTGACTTCATCAGATTGGAGTCAGCCAGCAGTCCTTATTATCCTATGATGTGAACACTAGAAGAACCCCTCCAGAACATCTGGTGCAACATGTTCATTTGTATGTGGAGAATTGGAAGCCCAAAGAGCTCAGGTGACCACTGTTAACAGATATTAATTAAACATCTACGATGAAGAGGACGCTCTTATAGGCTTGGATGTGTTCTTTTAAATGGTCCACCCATTCTGACTAGTAAAATAGGTGGAGTGATTTGCTGTGATTCTCTCATAACTCCTATTGTGTAAGCACAGAAATACCACGAATGGCACAATAACCGGAGTCAAACCGTTCCTAAGTTGTGAACTGACCCTCAACAGCTGAAGGTTGGGAAGAAAACGTTGCCTGACTCCGTGGCTTCTAAACCAACCTTAAACCTCGTCTCTGTGCCCCCACACCCACGACATAGTAGGCATCAAGAAACGTTTGAAAAATTAATATAAACCTTCCCTCAGAAGCCCTTCCCTGCCTCCCCTCCCCCTCCACATCCTCTCCGCTAGGAACTGCGCTAGCATTGGAGGCCCGGCTCGGGGACTTTTCCGGCTCGTTAGTTCTCCTCCAGACAGTGGTGCGTCCTCGGGACAGATGCGGGGCTCCTTTTTTTTCACTGCGGGGCGCGGGCTGGAGGCTGCTCACCCCGACTCTCATATTTTTCCCCGGAATTGGGGTCTTGTTTGGTGAGCACGTAAGCACTAAAGGTGGCCCCACGCGGTCTGGGGAACACGAGGGACCTGCGGGGTAGTTCTCAGCGTCCAAGCCGGGAGGGAAGGCCCGTGGGGGTGGCTAGCCCCGTCCACTCCCGAGTCCACCCCGCACTCCCACGCCAGCGCGCCCGGCTCGGGGCCGGGGCCCCGGGGGCGGGGCCTGGAGGGGCGGGGCCTGCCACGGTCAGGTGACTGAAGGGCGGGCGGCTGTGGCGGCGGTGGCGGAGGGGAGTCAGACTCGCCTTAGGGTCGGCGAGGCGGGCTGGCAGTCTGGGTAGCCACGCCGCGGCCATGGGGGGCTTGAAGGACGAGCTGCTCAAGGCCATCTGGCACGCCTTCACCGCACTCGACCTGGACCACAGCGGCAAGGTCTCTAAATCCCAGCTCAAGGTGGGCGCCCCCGCCCCGTCCCCAACCCAGGCCCTCCCGGGCGCGCGCACCACCACCCCCGGGTGGTGGAAGCCGGCCCCGGCGGGCGGTGACCCCAGGGAGGGGTGAATAGGAATGCGGCGGGACGGCCTGCTCTGCGCAGAGGGGCCAGTGACCGGGATTTGGCGGTTCTGCCTCCTTCTTGCCTTCGGGCCGTGCCCTCGGGCGGGTAGTTAGCCCCCTCAGGGCTCCCTGAGCGGTGGGGGGGTTAGGTGGGGATGGGGTCTGAGGGGCGAGGCGGGCTCCTGTCGGCGAGGTGGGGGGGGGCGCCCAGAAAGTCTCAGGCTCGGAGAGAGCGATGGGAAGCTCCCTTAGGCAGAATACCCAGATTACCGCTCTACTCTGGAAGAGGAAGGGACTTACCCAAGATCACTGGGCAGAACCTTCTGTAGAGGGCACGCTCCACATTCAGGCAGCCCTCAAAACGGCCAGCTGCACCCGAGGCAGTCTGGCTGTTCAGAGGAGCGAGAAGTGCCCAGAGCCCGGTCTCCAGCGGCTTCCTCCTTTGGGGGCTTTGGTGGTGGGGGACGCTTTCTGACTTGTGAGAAAGACCTCCCCGCCTAGGGGCTTTAGGTCAGTCATGGGTGTGCTGCGTCCCGCAGGGACCTTAGTTCCGGGTTAGGAGCCCTGATCTTTCTGGCAGAGTCTTTATTGTGACTGCCAAAGACCCCATCTTTGAGAGTATAGGGTATAAATAAAGGAATGCTTGTAAATTGAGTAACCCCAAGCAGGGAAAGTGGCATTTAGCCAGGAGAAATTGGCAGCTTCTTCAAAGTGTAAAATATAGAAATAGACAAGAAGAGCCATTCACAGGCATTTCTAATATCCACATTTTGGATCTGAATGTCTGGTTTTCTCAGCCTCTTTCTGGGAATGAATTTCTGAAGATTGGATTTGCTTTGTTTGTTTTGTGCAGTAATCAGGAGGTTTTTATGAGTAGTGGTTTTTATGCCGGTAGGATTTAGCATTTGTTCTCCTTTCATCTTACTTTCACACTCCTCTCTTCTTCTCATTCATAAAATCATAGTCTGGAAGAGTGCACAGAGATCATTCTCTTAATCTTTATTTTACTTTTAAATTACAGAAAAATTGACTTTTTTGGTGTACAGTTCCATGAGTTTTAACAAATGTACAAATTTATATAACTACCAAAATCAGGTTTCCATCCGTTCTGTCATCCCAGGAAGCTTCATATTGCCCTTGCACCTCCAGCTGGGGTCAACCAGTGGTCTGCTCTGTTCTTAATTGCTATAGTTTTGTCTTTTCCACAGTGTCATGTAAATGAAGTCATTTGGTATGTAACCTTTTGACACTGGCTTCTTTTACTCAGGGTAATGCCCTACAGACCCATCCATGTTATTGTGAGTATGTATTAATAATTCTTTTTTATTAAGTAATCCATTGTATGGTTTGTATGTATCCCATGTAATGGGATAACTGAAGTTAATCTATTCACCCTTGAACATTTGTGTTATTTCCCCTTTTTGGTGATTATGAATAGAGCTGTGTTTTACTTTTTTTTTTTTTTAAAGATTTTATTTGAGAGTGAGAGAGAGTGTGCACAAGCAGGGGGGAGCGGCAGGTAGAGGGAGAAGCAGGCTCCCTGCTGAGCAAGGAGCCCAGTGTGAGACTTGATCCCAGGACCCCGGGATCATGACCTGAGCTGAAGGCAGATGCTTAACCGACAGAGCCACCCAGGCACCCGCACTATTTTTACTTTTAATTTACCTACACCACTATATTTAAAGTGGATTTCTTGTAAGTAGCATGTAGTTGGGTCTTGTTCTTTAATCCATTCTGACAATCTCTATTTTTAATTGTTGTGTTTAGGCCATTTACATTTAATGTAATTATTGACATGGTTAGATTTAAGGTTACTAATTTTACTGTTTGGTTTCTGTTTTCCAATTTTTTGTTCCACTGTTTCTCCTTTCCTTCCTTCTTTTAGATTATTTGAATATACTTTAGTATTTCATTTTAATACTGAGTTCTTTTTTTTTTAAGATTTTATTCGTTTATTTGACACAGAGAGAGGGAGAGAGAGATCGAGCACAAGCAGGGGGAGCTGCAGGGAGAGGGAGAAGCAGGCTCCCCGCTGAGCAGGGATCCTGATGTGGGGCTTGATCCTAGGACCCCGGGACCATGACCTGAGTAGAAGGCAGATGCTTAACCGACTGAGCCACCCAGGCACCTCAATAATGAGTTTTTTGACTATATTTCTTTGTATAGTTTTCTTAATGGCTGCTCTAGAGATTATAATACATACCTAACTTTTCAGTTTACTTAGAATTAATATTTTACCACTTTAAGAGGAATGTGGAAACCTTATCACCATTTAAGTCCTTTTAACCTCCCTGCTTTATAATTGTCATATTTATTAATTTACACACATTGAAAACCTTATCAGACAATGTTAAAATTTTTTTGCTTTCAACCACCATTTTTATTTTAAAGATCTCTTAATAGTTTTTTCTCCCCAGATAACTCTTTAACTTTTTTAAAAAAGATTTTATTTATTTATTTGAGAGAGAGAGAGAGTGCGCACAAGTGGGCGGAGCTGCAGGCAGAGGGAAAAGGAAAAGCAGACTCCCCACTGAGCAGGGAGCCCAAAGTGGGGCTCAGTCCCAGGACCTTGGGATCATGACCTGAGCCTGAGCCACCCAGGTGCCCCGATAACTCTTTAATTTTATAGATAAGGTGGATTAAGCTTATGAGGTGTTTGGTGGCTTGCCCAGACTCCCAGCTGTAAGTAGTAGCTAAATCTAGTACCAGGATTTTCCAACTTTTGAGCCAGTGTTTCTTAATTTTTTCTCATTTAGCTGATGACATAAATGACATGTTTCTTTTTTTTCTTAAAGATTTTATTTATTTATTTATTTATTTATTTATTTATTTA